ACCCATTGTTTCTGCTTGTTTTCTGCCTGTTGCACTAGAAATACTGAAAAAGTAGTGCTGTAGTCTCTGAGCTGTACTTGGGAATGTAAGAGCCCTCCTATCTCAGCTCCAAACTTGTGCATGTCTAGGACAGTGTTTCTGTCTGTGTTTTTGCTTTATTATCTCTGGGAAACACCTTCATCCTCCTTTTAAAGTGTACTCAGCTCCCCTAAAGGTGTGGCTGCTTCAGGGACCAGGATTCTGCCATCAACATCTCTTATCACTGTAGTCTAAATATGATGCTGCACTGGTCACCATAGTAATAGCCTGTCACTGTGAGTCTTTCGTGCATTTCTCATCATGCAAATACATTTCTCAATTTTCTTTTTTAAATCTGAACTGCAGTAAGCTAACCCACAAATGTCTTGGCATGATCACACTATTAATCACTGACACTGCTTTTTAGGAGCCTGGCATCTTGTTTCATCCTGTGTTTGCAGTTTGCTCTTTGATATTAAAGCTGACTTGTAAGAAGGGAAGAAAGGTGGGATGGCAGCTTTTACTGCCCTCCAACTCTTGCCCACTCAGGGCTTCAAAAGCTTATGGAAGTTCTATGCCACTGAAATAAACCTGCAGCCTGCAGATCCTCCCCCATGTACTTGGAAATGTGGCACAGATGGAGCTGTACTGTCTGTGGGGATTACATACTGGGGAGAGTGGCTATGCACAAGAACCCTGTCAGTATTTAAACCCACTCACTAGAGGCTCATGGGGAGAGTGGGTAGAAGAGAACACGGAGGAGAGTCATGATGTCCCAGTATTGGGCTGGGTCCTGTCCTGGGCAGGGAACCACAGATTGAGGGGTTTTCTTCTGACCAGAGAGAGAGAGAGAGAGAAAACTTCTGGAGAATCACAGTGGAAATGGATTTCCTAGCACCTCTAGGAAGGCCATAAATGGGGTTGAAAAGTAGAGGTTTATTGGGCAAAAGATAGGCAGGAAAAAAATCAAACTATGTATGTTTTCTGCACAGAATGCGAGTTACCATCCAGGGACCCAAAAGCACTAGATCACTTCAAATGGAAGTTCTGTTGCTACTGTTCTCTGCAGGGCTTCTTCTCCACAGCTCCTATTTCCAGGACACAGTAACTCCTCCATGCTGCACCACTCGAAGGCTACACATACTACGAAATTAGGAAGTGCCAAACATCTTTGTTGAGATAATTTCTCCTCCTCTAAGGAGAATCATGCACTGTTTTGTATTCAGGAGAGTTTCAGGGTTTTCAGTGTCCATCTGGCTTTAGACATGGGGCTAATGAGGAGGAATTACTTCTGAGGCCACTTACTCAAGTTTAGGTCTCTGAGCTCTTGCAGATTTTTTGATTGCTGTGCCTTTTAATGATAGTTGAGCATTATATGTATTTCAGATAACATGGTAATTGAGCTGGTACTGTTGACCAAAGAGGCTGTTGTAATGAAGTCGTGGATGGCTGCTCAGTATGCAAATGTCATAACAACATTGAACTCTGGAAAGCGAAAAGCACCCATATGGGAACTGTATGCTGTAGCATGCAACAAATCTTTGAACTGCCCAGTATTAAATGAGCCAAGCTGAATCTTTAAATAAATGGGTGTAGATTAACCATTAGAGTATTATCTTCAGTAATTGATTAAATTCTAACCCACAGCACCCAACAGAATTCTCTTTGACAGAGATTTGGACTCCCCAGCAGAACCCCTTCCCACTCTCACCGACCCCATCTCAAAGTGAAAGGTCATCATGTAGGAATCTGCTGAGGAGTTTGTTCATCTCTAAATGAGGACACAGAACAGCTGTAACCTGGCTCAGATGGCCCCAACACTGTTCTCAGTCCTTGCCACAATCCATTGAGCAGATTGACCACTTCATTAGACTGGAGATAAATGTGACGATTTGACTCTCTCTTTACATACAATGGAAATTCAATTTAAATGTCTTAGGTATAAATTTATATGCAAAACTTTTGTTCCACCAAACCTGGTTATTTGACATTAGTGACTGGATCTGACTTCAGAGCGTGCTAGCTAAAGTAGCCATATAATTGGTGTTTGCCCTGTTAACTTCTCGCCTTCTCCGAAGTTCTTTCCTGTCAGCCTAGTTTTCTCCCAGGTTATCAGTGAGGGCTATCTCTCCAAAACCATCAAAACAGGTGCTAATAAGGTAGCATTTGAGGTAAAAATAAGGAAGAAAGATGTTAAGAAAAAAATCCAGATTTCAAAGCAGGCAAGTACCATGGTTGGTACTTCGGAAGTACTTATAATTTTATTTTTTGTTCTCATAGAAACATGGAACACTTTCATTTATGCCAAAAACTTAAGGGCACCTAAAAGGGATTTAAGAATGGAAGCAAGACTCTAACTCAATTTTGCTTCTTACTTAATAAAAAAATAATTAAAGGCAAATATATTTCAAAAGGGACTACTAAAGGTTTTGATTTAAGAAACTAAAACGAGATGACTGACTTCCAGAGTGATTATGCAATGCTTTTTATACTGCACCAATTTGAAATACTCCAAATCATTAATCACTGGTGAGTAACATCATCTTCAGAGTTCATAGAAGGGATAAATGAGTTGCTGTCCATGACTAGGAACCTTAGCAGACTAAGATTCATTAATCAGAGCTGCCTTTTCCTTTGCTCTTATAAATTTTATCTCTAGTTTTCACACGTGTGGGTGATTTGGCTGACTCATTAATCCAGGCAGAGATTGTTAATCAGTGGATGACTGCTATGTGTGGCACAAAACCATGATTCAGATTTGTTCCTTTATGGGAATGCCTGATTGAAATAATAGTATGCCTTACATTAAGCTGTAGCCTTCTCATTTCGATCTTTGTTTTCCTAAGAAAAATGGCTTATGTCTGCCTCCTCCAAATCTTTGCTTTCCTTTGCCAATCTCTAAGACATTCAGCAATAAAGTGGTGACCTCAGACTCTAGCTGTCATGAGGTTTATGATAGCAGGTGGCTGGGTCAAGAGACACTATATCACTGTAGCCCTCTTGATGGAAAGACCAGCAGTCCTTCCTAAACCTGGAAGGAAGAAGGGGTACAGGAGCCAGGCCTTCACATCCTTTGTGATGTGATCCTTTGTGATCCTTTTCAGTGAGTACATCAACGTGGGAAGCTCCTTTGTGGCCAATAAAGACAGAGTTTAAGTATGCATTACAGATCTCCTGCTGAAATGCTTGCCTTTTTTCCACTCAGAGAGCTGATTTATTTCTTTGGTTTTGAGGAAACTGATTCTTCTACAGTTATGTGTGCAGTTACAGAATGGGACAGATACTGCAGAAGTGAAGAGGGCTTAGAGGAGGTAGTTAGTATTCAAATCTTAGGATTCTCCAGTATAAACTACTGTAAAAAGTTATGTTAGTCATAAGCCTGAAAGTGTTGCCGGCTTTGGTACACGTCACTGGACAAATGCTAACTGCCTCAAATCAGCAATTCCTTTACTAAAACTGTTTCAAAGAAACATGAAAAAACTCAACCCAGAATTTCCCAGGCTTTATAGTGGCTGCATTTTAGAAGAAGGCCTGCACCCTAAATTTTTTTCAAAACCTGACGCAAATTCACAGCTTCAACTATATCTTAGTTCAGAGTACTTTGTCTTGAAAGTAAGAGGAATGCACTCATGTCAATTTGAAAATACAATAAATCTAACAAGCCAGGTGACTTTAGGTCATGGCACAACCTAGAGACACTGCCATGTGACCTCTTAGGCTTAGTCACAGGTTACACATCAAACAGAAACACACATTTCATTTTGTCTACCAATGTTTTCAAGTTTTCTGCAAAAGAGAAGTGTGTTTGCAGAACATCTGGAAGTGATAAACAGGGAATTGGCTTTTATGTACACTTACTATATTTTCTGTAAAATTTAAGAAAAAAACAAATCCAAATTTCACCTGTTCTTTCCTCCACTTTCTCTCTTTGTCCTTTTTCTCCCCTCCTACAGACTTTCAACGTTTGTTTTAATATTTTTGCTCCTTCTCTGCAGTATTCTTCTCTCCCTTAGTATTAATTTGTGCTCAATTTTTCCCTACTTAGTTTGCCTAGCAGATCTCAGGGTGCCTATCTCCCAGCCTCCTTTTCACCCGCCTTGCACAGCCCATTGCTTTTCTCCTTGGTCATTCCTCCTCACTCCCTGCAGCCATTAATTTGACAGTCCTCCATTTCCCTGCTTCCTTGCAGTCCTTATAACTTGCTCCTTCCTTCTCAGTCTTCTGTGGCTCTGCTCACTCCGTCTGTCTTGTTTCCCATCTCTGGCTTTGTCATATGGTGACAGTGGGTATATGTAGATGAAATATTGGCTACCCCTGCCTTCCAGCTGTCAATCCTGCTTCTGCAACAGGGGTGATATCCTCCTTACCAGGGATGGCCAGCTGACATGGCCATTTGCTTCTGGTCACCAGATAACAACTGTACTGAGTAACTAGGAAGCTTTTCAGAAAGTGGGGAACTTGTATGGTTCTCATGGCTGCTGAGTTGCTACCAGAGTTTAGTACAATTAAACAATTTTTTCAGGAGAACAACTTTTTAGAAGTTTTGTATACTTAGACATAACCTTGAGCCAGACCTATGAAGAGATTAACTCTGTCCCAGCCAAATCTAGAACATTTTTCTCCTAGATATAGACAGCTTTGTTATGTATCTAAATGTTTGAAGTAATACTGTTAAATAAAGAATTGGGCAGATATAATTAGGAGGTAAAATTTTACCAAATGGAAAATCAGACCACTGTAACTAAATGATATTTAATACTTTCAATAGCATGTATTTTATTTTATTTTCATCCTGCATTTTTGTTTAATTTTCTTGATGGATTAGGTGATGGATGGGTTGGTCAATATGTAATATTTCTTTGCAATAGTCAGATGTTTTCCTCTCATCCTTCATAGAATGTACCATTTTCTAATTTGCAAGTAAAGTGGGAGCCACGTTTTGTCTGTGAAATGTTAAAACTGGTGTAATTTCTACCTCTTACCTGAGCTCAGGAGAAGAAATAATTTGTGACGCTCTGGTGAACCATTCTTCCTTTTAGAAATGGCGATTATTAATTGTAATGTTTTGAAGGCAGTGCTGGAATCACAATTCCTGTTTATCTGGCCACCAATCCTGCAAAATTCCAAGGAGGATATCAATCTCTGGTACATATATTTTTTAATCTTGCTGAGTCCTTAAGATTGAAATACTTTCAAAATGTCACCTTGAACAAAAATTGCATGCTGAATGAGTGATGCTGATTTGACTGGTAGGGTTCAAGATGGAGTCAAGATATTGTTCTAATTGCCATTATATTGTTCGACCTATGAATCCAGAATCTCTGTGTCTTCCAGAAGTTCCTTAACTGTATGTCCTTGTGCTGATATCTAAACCATTTCAGAGTAGCATTCTGCAACAGCAGACAGCTTTTCCCCTCATGTTGACCTAGAAAAGCTTGGAAACCTTTGATCAGACAGGATGAATGAAAGATCAGTCATTCTTCCTCCTCCTCATCTAGCTGAGAGGTAGAGGCACAGAAGTAGTAGAGCCAGGATAATAGAGGAGAACCATGCAAACAGTGAGATTTCAATTTGAGTGTGCCTCAATTGCTGCTTTGCTGTGTCTTTGCTTGGGAGAGATTATTCTTCCCTTGTTGGGTACATGCAGTAGTGCTGCATTTGACCTAGCAACCAGAGAACCTTAAATTCTCCAGTTCTCAAACATGACAGCTGTTGTCTCTACCAAAAACAGCACAGATTTCTCCCTGCTGGGGTGAAGACTTCCTCTTGCTCCCTGCCTTCCCTGCCAAACCCCCAGAGGCCAGAGGGCTCAAGGAAGGCTCTTCAAACTGTAGGACTTTTTGTTGCACATAGTTCATGGGATGACTGGACCTTGTCCTTAATTGCTTCTCCCTTGTCCCTGTATTTCCAGATATTGTTTCTCTTAGAGAAAAAGGAAAAATACTGTGCAGTATCAGATGACAGAGAAGTAGAGGAACCAGGCAAAGATTTATGAGTAGGTTCTGTGATTATAAAAGGAATACAGTCCAAACACTTTCACTGTCAATATTTACAAGAGATTTGCCTTCAACTTGAGATGTCTAAGACTGTCATTGGACACTTATCTCACAACATTGTATCAATTTCTCACCCAAAAGAAATAGCTACTTTGGGATTTTCACTCACCATTAAACCTTTCTCCTTGTCCAAGGTTCTGTCTGTTCCCGCGGCCTTGTAGGCCTGGAGAGGGGGGGAGGAGGCCAAGACAGAGCCTGCTACCTTGTCCGAAGCCGGAAACCAAAAAGAACAAGAGAATTCTGTCTGTACTTCTTAAGGGGGTGTTTACAAGTTGAATTCACTTTTTAATGGTCAGATCTGCTGTCAATAGTAAAGTATCTTGCCTTGCCAAGTGCTTTGCCAAGGTGGCTATTTTTCACTGAGTCACATTATCTAACTGAATGTTAAATTATAAAAGGTAGTTCCTAGGTGTGGGTACAGCTCTTGAAAAATCCAGGTCACTAGCGAACTGGTTGAAGCAAACAGCTTTAGACATCCTGTTTGTCCTTCATACATATACACATTTGAATCAGCCCTAGGAGTCTCTGCCTAAAGTTGAGTAGCTCACATGCTTCTGTGGAGCTTCATGGAAATTAGGTGGCAGTGTTAGTAGTTCCTGCTTTAAGAAAGGCTGTGAAAATCACCTACATGATGCAGACCCAAATATTTCACAGGATGGTTTGTGTCATTTAGCACAGAAGGTCTCATGCAGAATCCCTGTAACCCTGAATACACAATGGAAAGTCCAATAAAGTCCCATCTAAAGCTGCTCAGAACATGGTTTCCTTCTGTGCCTGCAGGTGCAGTCTATTCCCTCCATACTCAAGTCTAGCCATCTGATGAAGCTTATTGTAAGATAACTTTTTCATAGTGGACTCTAGCTATTTCTGCAGAGTGTTTGTGGCTGGCACAGCATGAATATGCTAGTCTCCCAAATGGATATGATCAGAAGGTGAATATATTAATTCCTGAAGTCTTGATGGCAGTAAATGATTATTTTTGAGACTTTTTTAGTGCCTGTGTCTCTCTCCTCCTTCCTAGATCAACAGCTTACTTCACCTCAAAGACTGCAGCAACATCTGGAAACATTTGCATTCCAGTACATCTTCTATTGTCACCAATCTGACAAACTTTATCATATCATCAGGATGTCCCCCTATTTTTCCTACCACAAGAAACCTGATCATAAATTTCTAAATCCTATGTTGGACATTCCTAACTACATGTTTAATTCCATATGGGTGAATTACCAGGTGACCAAATTTATATGGAAAAAAGCTTTCCAATAGCATACTGGACATTTCCATCTATTTCCAAGATCATGCATTAATCTCTTGTAATACTCTTGTGAAAAATGCTATAGAGAAGCCTTGCAGAGAATTGGAAATCTTAGGAGGGAAAGTCCAAGGATACTCAGGACAGGTTTAAAAAGGAGATTGTTAAAGGCCTCAGGGATCCCCATTCCTTGCAGAAGATCACAGCATGGGCTATATGTGTCTTCCCATAGAAGGAAGTATTTGCACTTCAGCACAAAAGACAATAGGTGATATGGATCAGGATCAGTAGGCCATTGGTTTCCTTGGCCACCTGGGCACAGTCCTGGCTCATGTTCAGCCACCTGTTAACCAGCACCTCCAGGTCCTTTTCCATCAGACAGTTTTCCAGCCACTCTTCCTCAAGCCTGCAGCACTGCATGGGGCTGTTGTAACCCAAGGGCAGGACCCAGCACTTTGACTTGCTGAACCTCATACAGTTGGCCTCAGCCTATTGATCCAGCTTGTCCAGATCCTTCTGCAGAGCCTTCCTGCCTTTCTGTCCAATTTGGTGTCATCTGACCGAAGGGGCGCTTGTTCCCTTGTCCAAATTATCAATAAGAATGTTAAACAAGAGTGGCCCCAGTACTGGGGAAAAGTGCTTGCAACCAGATGCCAGCTGGATGTAACTCCATTTGCTACCACTCCAGCTCTTCAGCCAGATATTTACCCAGACAAGAGTGCACCAATCCAAGCCATGAACAGCCAATTTCTCCAGGTGAATGCTACGGGAAAGAGTGTCAAAGGCTCTGCCAAAGTTCACAGAGACAACATCCACAGCCTTTCTCTCATCCACTAGGTTGGTCATCCTGTTATAGAAGGAGATCAGGTTGGTCAAGCAGGACCTGCCCTTCTGAAACCTTTGCTGGCTGGGCCTGATCCCCTGGTTGTCCTGTATGTGCTGCATAACGGCACTCAACATGCTCCATGTCCTTCTCTGGCACCACTGCCAGGCCTGTAGTTCCCTGCATTGTCTCTCCAGCCCTTCTTATAGATGAGTATCACACTGACTAACTTCTGGTCAACCTGGGACCTCCTTATTTAGTCAGGCCTGCTGGTAAATAATTGAAAATGACTCTGTGACTCAGCTCCCTCAGTACCCTTGGGTGGGTCCCATCTGGTCCCATGGACTTGTGTGTGTCTAAGCGGTAATCCAGCACATGCTGGATACTGGAAGAAATTATTTTTATCCCTTTTTCTAAATGTTCCTCTCTCAAGTAGTCTGCTCCTCTTTACATACTTTACGTCTGGTTTACCACCTCTGCTTTTGATTCTGTACAGGTTGTGTGGAAGCGTATCTGAAACTGAATTGCTGGAATTTAAGTATTGACGTTTGTGGTTTGTACATACACAGTCAATCAAAAGACTGACCAGCTGACCAGTGTTCAGTCTGGCATACTAAAATTAAAATTGATAGTCATGAAGAAGTCGGGAAGATAACTTCCTCCTCTGTTTTATTGCAATAATTATAGATGACAGTCACAGGAACAGCACACTCCCTTGCACAATGAGGTAGGCTGCTGATAATTTTCCTCTTACTGGAGCAAGCTCCAGGTTCTGAGAACAGAATGTCCAAGATGCAGAACTCCTGGGAACTGAGGAAGAGGTTCTGTTTTGCTTCTCCCTGCTGCCCCCTGCCCTCAGTTTAAATTTCATCATTTAAAAGTAAGTATATTGTTAAAACGTTTGTGTTGAAAACCCAGATCAATGAAGGGATCTAAGCTGTATTTATCTAAGTAATTAGTGGTAAAAGATTCTTAATTTTTGAGTCACTAAATCCCTCACTATTTCCTCTTTTCTATTTAATGCTTGTCTTTGAAGCATTAAGAGGTTTTCTGGTGAGGAAGACTTCATAACCAGAAGTTTCTAATTGCTAGCATTCTGGCAAGAGCATTAATCTTTCACTTACGAGTGGGAATATTTGTAAGTCTAGAGATACTTGAATGGCTGGTATTTGCTTTTTCCTCTTTTACAAATGATTGCTGAATCAGTTTGTCTCATACAGTTGAGTGGATTTGGCTAGAGAATGAGCTTGATTTATTTGATTTTGAGACCAGAGAAAAATGAAGGATTTCTTTTTCCATGGGAAATGGAGGACCGTGAAAGCCAAGTAACAGGGACAATTGAAGAGCTCAAGTGGGTTGGAATGACTGAAGGTATAGTTAGACATCCATCACTTAGGTTTAAACCTACCAGAGTTTTACAGTATCCTTAAATAATGAAAAAAAAAAAAAAAATGGAGATCAGTTTAGGAATAAAACTTTTCAGCTAGAGATTGAAAAAATGTTTTATCAATTCTTTTGCAAAGAAAATAGGGAGAAAGTATCAACTCGCCAAGCCCCAAATATTACAGGTTATTGAAAGAAACAAGAATTTCCTAATATTTTAATAGACGCAGGAGGCTGCATGACAGTTAGAGTTAAAAACTTATGGATTATGCTTATGCTCCAGTACATCTATAACAAAATGCTGAACCATATTTCAGAATATCGAATCTGGGGAGCAGTGAACCCTCAAATAGTTTCTTGCCAAGTCAGTTTGCTGGTTCATTGGCCTGTCACCTGTGCATCTGTGTCCGTAGAGGGTGGTAGCTCATTGCTCCTCCTGTAAATGACCTCCAGGTCTTTATTTTTAAATCAGAGAATTAATAGACTACATCTCTGAAGGCAGAATGTAGCTGCGGTGAAATTTACATTCAAAAGACTATTCTCCAGTGGTTCCTGGATAAGAGCAAAATTATCATTCAGGATGACTATGGAGAATCTACAATGGCAGAATCTAGAATGGCAATCTAGAATCTAGAATGGCAGTGCTTGGTCTGGTGATAACTAAAGAAGCAACACTGCTGCTGTAGCTTATCCTCCCTTGTGCAGGGAGACTCCCCTGAGTGATCTCCAAAGGCCCCTTCCAGCCTCACATTCTGTGTGTGTGTTCTGATAATGCCCAGATTTTACAGACTTAGCCATTAGAATATGGTGCCTAAATAATTTGTGCCTGGTACATCATTGTGTAAGAAATTAGCTGGTCAGTTCTTGACCTCTTTGGTTTCAGGCCGCAAGATGTTTGAACCCAGCTCTGAGATCTTTCTCCATGACTCTCAAGGACCAAAGTGAAGCTGTAGTTCTCTAAATGATCTTTCTTACTGTTTTCAAAGACAGATGAAATATTTACTATTCTTCAGTGCAGAGGGGGCTTGCCTGGTCACCATGATCTTGAGAGGGTAGTAATTGGGAAGTAGCCTTGCAATGGCATCAACAGGCTCTCTCAGCACTTGCTGATGCAGTCTTGCTCACCGACCTACAGAATCAATGTAGCTCATGTGCTCTGAGAAACTACTGGAAATATTAGTTCTCAATGTTCCTGTTTCTAAGCACTTTATCATAGTAAGTCTTAAATTAAAGTAATTTTGTCCTTTATTTTCCTACTTTGTGTTTTATTAATTTTATTTGCTACTTTTCTGCTTTGTTTATGAAAATATGTCGCTTTGTTTGGTTTCTAGTAACTTCTTCGTTTATAGCATTACTATTAATGTGCTCATGCTGACCAGTTACTTCTCACTGTTAGAGACTAAAAGAAGATAAAAAAAACCTGAGATGTTTGGGGTTTTCTCTGTCAAGAAGATTCTGTTCCATGAATTGTTTTAGTGAGGAAATACATACTTCTGGAATCTAGAGATTCAATTTATCCATGTTCACATCATGCTCTTTTTGGGTGAAAACTGTAAAGCCTAATTCATGTAAAGCTTAACATCAAGACTCCTTTAAATGCAATTTCTAGTTCTCCTCAAATCACACTCTGAAATTCTGTAGTTTGACCGCAGCTCAATGACTGCAATGCAAACAAAAAGTTTCACTTCTCTCCTAATATCCAGTGTTGTAGCTCAAAAAAGGCACTCTAGTTGTGATATCAGATAC